AAAGTTAGTGTATTATAAATTACTGTCAAATGAATTTAAAGTTATCCATGTCACCCCCTATATTACCCTCATTCAAATATATTTAAAATACCATGAATTTAACAAAGTAGCTTCTAGAAATCAATATATTACTGGCGAAAATGAAATTATATAAAATATAACTGACAGGACTATTAAAGTTATTGATAAACTTCCCGTGTGAGGATTATTTCTTTCTGTTACAACATTTTATAATTTAATAATATGAATCGGCAAAAAATAATAAAAGTAAAACAAGAAAAAACACATATTTGAATTCTTGAAGTATGATTTGAGTTCATATTTTGAAAAGGAAAATACTGTTAATATGGATAATTTCTCTTTCCTAAATTAACTGATGAGGAGGTTTTATGTCCGAACTGTGTGTCATCTTGCTGACACATCACATAATTACTGATGCATTTCAAAGAAAAAACTTAGCTCAAATCAGTTTATATCTTAGCATTTGAAACTTTAGTCAGACATGACTGGTATATACAGCAAAAGCAACAGTTTAGCTCTCTTGTCAGACATGACTGGTAAATACAACCAAACAAACAGCCTAGAGCTGTCGTCAGACATGACTGGTAAATACAGCTATAGCAACAGTTTAGCTCTCTTGTCAGACACTACTGGCAAATAAAGTTAAGGCAACAGTTTTAGAGCCAAATCAGCATCCCTGATGAAATAATGCTTTCAAACTGTATGAATCATTTATAGAGTAGATCCCCATTAATAGTCAATATTATTTATATAACTGAGTTTTTTCATGTGTAAAAACTAATTCCTATTCGAATAGTTTTACATTTTTATGGAATTTTTGAGTAAAAACCATTAAAACTTTGTCAGCATTTACATAATAATAGAAATGAGTCATTATTCCGAGGAGCAGTAATGGAACACAGCATCACGTAATTTCATTAAAATCTATAATAGTGTTCATAGTATGAACAATTGGCGTATTTCCCATATTTTATACAAATATTGTGATAATTTTGATCAAATTGGGACAAAAAATTGTGTCAGAAAGCCATTTCTAGGAAAATTAACCCCAAATTAACTCAAGAAATCTTCTCAAAGATATTTTTTCAGAAATAATTGTTTGCAGTTATCAGAAAATTTAAAAAACAAGAACTGTATTTCTCTAAAAGTAATGACTCATAACTGAAAAATGTAATTTTCTTTTCAATTTTACCAGTCTGCAGGATATATTTCAATCTATTGTAACTATTAGACAGTTATTATATACAGTTTGTTATTTAAAAACTATTTCTGAATCTTTTAAGAACATAGAGCAAATATCTAGACTAGTTCTAGAATTATTTAAATTTGTGAATCGATAAAACGTGATACAACAGCATAGAAATTCGAAAATTTGTTCATTGCGACATTTATTATATCTTATCCCATATATCGGGATATGAACTGTGTTTCCACTCTAAGCCGGCTTTTTTGTGTTTCCACTGACAAATTGCCGAACCGTTAGCGTTCGGGAACCGTAACGGTTCGGCAATTGAAGCTTTTCTCGTTCGGCAATTTATCGGGGGCCAAATGAAAGTCAGCTTTCGTTTACTCAGTGGAAACACAAAAAGCCGGCTTTTTCTCGTTCGGCAAAAGGGGGCGTGTCGATAAAAAGAATTCTTATCAGAATCAAAACCAGCATTTGAACTTTCCTTCGTCGCTGCAAGTATCTACGAATGTCCAAGTTACATCCACTGTAAGAATTGCGTTAAGTATTAAGTTAACATCGAATTGGCCACCATTATTGCTTTGTTTACCTTAACTGGTCATGTGCAATAATGTACTTCCGATTTAACGATAGTCTTGTACATCGTGTGCTGTCAATAATGTGCGACTTTATGATCGAGACCAAAGTCGTTCGGGAACCAGAAAAACTCAGTGTAAACGCAACGTGTTCGGCAATAAAGCTAGCTTTCCTTCACAATTGTCAGTGGAAACGCAGTTATGTATTGTATCTTATCCCATAAAACATGATATGTATTGTATCTTATCCCATATATCATGTTATGTATTGTATCTTATCCCATAAAACATGATATGTATTGTATCTTATCCCATATATCATGTTATGTATTGTATCTTATCCCATATATCATGATATGTATTGTATCTTATCCCATATATCATGATATGTATTGTATCTTATCCCATAAAACATGATATGTATTGTATCTTATCCCATATATCATGATATGTATTGTATCTTATCCCATATATCATGATATGTATTGTATCTTATCCCATATATCATGATATGTATTGTATCTTATCCCATATATCATGTTATGTATTGTATCTTATCCCATATATCATGATATTTATTGTATCTTATCCCATATATCATGATATTTATTGTATCTTATCCCATATATCATGATATTTATTGTATCTTATCCCATATATCATGATATGTAATTGTACCTTACATTGTGATGTATATCATATCATTTCGAATCGTTACATTCAGTAGCCCTTATATCATGTTTTGTATTGTATTGTATTGTAGTCCTTTCATCATAATGTGTATGATATTGTATCGTAGCACTTATATTGTGATATCTATTGTATGGCCTCTGCATTACATCATTTCATATTGTAGCATTTAGTATCCATTATATTGTGATGCATATCATATCAAAACAAGGAAGTTTCCCATTCCAATTAAAACTAACAAGATTGACTGGGAAAAGATAAACTGGGTGTTCAGTAATAACTGACCATATCACGTAAAGCCACAACTAATGTTAAAAGGGTTAAATAAAATCTTATTACAATATATTTTCCAATGACACCATTCTGAACAGATATTTAGTTGAACAGTAAAACTGAGACGATAGTTTGTCAAGACCGCTACTTTAAGTCGTACCATTATATAATTCTATATATAATATTGATCTATAGAGATGTGACTGGAATCTTAATACAGTATTTTAGGTTAGATCTAATACAATTCTAACTCAATATCTCTATATAATATACAGTATATATTACATTGTAAAGACACGTGTTGTTCAATCACATTCTGAAAATCAGATATACATTCTACAATATACATTGCACCTAGATAGCTATAAATAGTGAGGTAGGTGTGGCGTAGAAGCAGATCATGCTTACTCTTTTCGAAACACCTAATGGTACTTCTCTTTTGAAGTGCCCACTATTATACAACTTTAAGTCTCAATTTTGCCATAATTTGAATGAAATTTTGATTAAAAATTGACTTTTATTATAATGTGTAAAAGCTCACACTGAGCCAACTCTCAGAAGCACTGGCATGGGCATCAATTTTCTTTGGTTGAGGAGGATTCGAACCAACGGCACATAATAGCCTCTATCTACTTTTTAATAGATTTTCCCAGCATTATAGCCTACCAGTGTACTGTCCTAATTTTTTTTATCCCCCTCGGCTGATGATAGAGACCCCCTGGGGAGAGTACAAAATGTATCAAATGAAGGGTAAATATGATATGGGTCAGGTATAAGTGTAATTGGTGGGGGAGGTATCTAAGTAGGTCAAGTCGTGACCTATATCAGGTAAAACAGGTGAGATAACAGCAAGGTAAACAAACTGAATCAATGCTCTGTAATCACTAGTTATACAAAATCTAATCATACTGTTGACCCTTAACTAAATTTACCTTAGGTCAGCCTGGTAAAGGCATTCTGTCATCTAATTACAGACTCATAGTCCCTTAAAGGGATATTGACATCTAGATAATTGCTTTACAAGCTAACAGAGCTCAATTTAAGCTATCTTTATAGTTGTCTTCATGTTTACTTTGCCAGCTGAAAGAGATCAATTTCATTTATCTGTATAACCCTGTATATAATTTCTGACCAAGCTCATAGAGCTCAAATTCATTTATCTGCTATGTCATTAAAATATTGACTTCAGCATCTCATAGAGTTCAATTTCAGCTATCTTTATAGACATCTTAATATTAACTTTCAGCTAATAGAGCTCGATTTCAGCTATCTTTATAGACATCTTAATATTAACTTTCAGCTAATAGAGCTCGATTTCAGCTATCTTTATAGACATCTTAATATTAACTTTCAGCTAATAGAGCTCGATTTCAGCTATCTTTATAGTCATATTAATATTAACTTTCGGCTAATAGAGCTCAATCTGTATAGCTGTCCTAATATTAAGCTCCATTTCTCTTCTAGAATTCTTACTTAAATCTCAATCAGATGTAAAGCTCCATTTCATTTCGTTACCTTCAATACATTGGCACTCTATGTAAATCATTGAATACATCTCAAATCTCCTAAATCTCAAATACAATTTTGTTTTAAAATGGAATCCCCAAACCCCCCATGAAGATTTCAACTTTACTTGTAGCTTGCACCAATCATTTCAAATTGTGAAAATTTAATTTACTGGGTACACATGGCTTTGATTATTTACATCAAAAGAATAGCCATAACTGACTATTACCATAAAAACAGCCTGGATTTCATTATTTTTATCAATTCACGCATGTTTATACTATAACTCTTTAGAAAAATTTGCAAGACAAAGTGTTTTAATCAGAAAACACCATATTTCAATTACTAAAGAAACACATGGATTATAATTTGAAAGTTTGTTACTCCCACACGAAATTTGTAGCACAGTTTTGTTGGTTGTGGATGTTCTAAATTATGGTTCCTAGCAGACGACAATCCAACTAGCTACTGACTGAGCTTTTCAACTGTCCTAGCAGATGACAATCCAACTAGCTACTGACTGAGCTTTTCAACTGTCCTAGCAGACGACAATCCAACTAGCTACTGACTGAGCTTTTCAACTGTCCTAGCAGACGACAATCCAACTAGCTACTGACTGAGCTTTTCAACTGTCCTAGCAGACGACAATCCAACTAGCTACTGACTGAGCTTTTCAACTGTACTAGCAGACGACAATCCAACTAGCTACTGACTGAGCTTTTCAACTGTCCTAGCAGACGACAATCCAACTAGCTACTGACTGAGCTTTTCAACTGTCCTAGCAGACGACAATCCAACTCGCTACTGACTGAGCTATTCCACTGTCCTAGCAGATGACAATCCAACTCACTACCTACTGAGCTATCCCATTGTCCTAGCAGACAACAATCCAACTCACTACTGACTGAGCTATTCCACTGTCCTAGCAGATGACAATCCAACTCACTACCTACTGAGCTATCCCATTGTCCTAGCAGACAACAATCCAACTCACTACTGACTGAGCTATTCCACTGTCCTAGCAGACGACGATCCAACTCACTACCTACTGAGCTATCCCATTGTCCTAGCAGACAACAATCCAACTCACTACTGACTGAGCTATTCCACTGTCCTAGCAGACGACGATCCAACTCACTACCTACTGAGCTATTCCACTGTCCTAGCAGACGACAATGCACCATGCTACTGGTAGAGCCATCCTTCAGGTGTTTTTAATTAAAAATGTTACTTTCCTATCAGACTATATCTATTATACTGTAGTATATAAATCAATAATTAATTTACTGGACATACTAATCATCTTCTTATATCAAACACAGATACCACTCAATTTTACTCTTGATTGCATTTGGTATGGTTTTACATGTTTCAGGATCTAGACTTGTCAAATCTGAATTTATCATCTTCTTATTTCAAACAGAGATAACAGCCAATTATATGATTGAATATATTTCTCATGATCCAGGCTTCTCATATCTTAAATTCTGATGCCACAGCATGTTCTTCAGAAAGTCCTGCCAGTAATAGCTTTAAACCNCATATTACTTTTTTTCTATTTTAGATACCAGCCAATTCTTCTCATGACCACAACCAGCTGATCAC